GGTCGGTTCCTATCGCGCGGTCCCGGTTTAGGGCCGGTCAGTCAGCGCAGTGGGAGCCGGCTGACGGAATCGGCAGGTGCGAGTGCCAGAACCTCGTCCAAGGCTGGCACCCGACTTTGCGCTGGCCCGGGCACAGCACGTGCTCGGCCTAGTGCCGTGTGGCCAATCGCCTGCTGCACTGCCGTGGAGAGCACGCATTTTAACATCAGAGTTCCCTTGCTTTGGAACTGCTCGCTATGACGAAAAGGTAAGAAAGAGCGGACAAACAGGCAAGGACCATGGCGCAAACCAATGCGTCCGGTGCCAAATGGGCTTCGGAGATGCAGCACCCATATCTGATCACCTTTCTCTCAAGGAACGCGCCACTTGGCATATAGAAGCAACATACCGCACATGTGCATGCACAGCAGAGCGACCAACTATAACAATCCTGAGGTCAAAGACCCGTCTTAGCAGCTCCGCGTCACCAAACTGAAGCACGCGTTGCAAACCCAAACGCCTCAACCATTGTTGGCAATAGCAGACAGGGGCATGAATGGATGCTGCGCAAAAACGTCCAGCGTGTGGCACCACAAGGACATTTGGGGCTGTGCATTTGGCGGTGACGAGCGTTTCTCCAGTCATGGAGCGGATCATGGCCACAACGGGCCAGTGTCCATGCACGGAAGGTGGAGGAAGGCAGCTTGGAGTTTTGCAAGCAAGGGCACGGCTGTCAACCCAGCACCATACTGGCGTGGAGCACATTGCTCGATGGCCGGATGCATCTAACGGCGGCTCCAGAAGCCAACCTGCCCCATACTCACGCCAGCCGCGATACCAAATGAGTTTGGAAACACCCCGCCGTCATAGCGTATTTCCTGCGCTTTAACATGAGCCCAGGAATTTGGACAATTCGAGGCAAATTGGAAGACCCGTTCTGCCAAGCCACGACGGACAGTGTGTGTGCTGGCAGCACTCAGTTGGGCAAGCAAGCCATATTACAATCTTTTGGCTTCCATGGCAAGAAAGTGCCCAACCCAGTTTGCCCAAGGCTGTTGCGCCAGGTGCGCCAGCCGGCCAACCCAAACAAACTCCTTCCCCATTGCCGCAATTTTTGCCAACATCTCGAAATATTTGCATCCAGAAACTGGGTTCCATAAATGATGGACGGCGAAACATACGTCCGAAACAGTCCGTTGCAAAAGCCAGTGTGCAACTGACGATTTTCAGCCCGATCCAAGAAATGGTAATTTTTTGGCGGCCGTTTTCCAAGTCGTTCAACATGCAGTTTCTTTCCGATATGTCTGAAACGTCACGCCCAAGTATGTGTTCGACAAGCACCGGACGGCAATTCCTTGCACGGAAAAATGGAAATCAAACGACCCAGAGCCAAGAACCATAACAACAGTTTTGTCAGGGCCAATGCCAACTGCGTGCCCCAGGCTCCAACCGCGCGCCACGCCCGCTGTAAGTGGACAACACTATCTGCCAGAACCACGACATCATCCGCGCAAAACAGTAAAGGGCCAAGGACACTCTTTTGTCGCACGCCCGCAATTTCGGTCCAAGGTGAGGACGCAGAGCCATTTACAACCGCGCGTGCTGTTGTGCTAGTGAAACGGTCTGCAATAACAGACCACGTACAACCGGCAACCCCCATTTCAATAAGTTTCAGCAACACTGCATCCCTCCACGCGATGTGGAAGGCTTTCCGCACATCGATAGACGCGACTACGCAACTTAAGGGCTTCGGCCAATGTATACATGTGTTCCTCTGCCCCAAACCGGAAGCTGGCCTGGCTTTCATCAAGATGGGGGTCAACCCTGAGAATGAGACGTGCCAATACTAAGCGCTCAAAAACCTTGAGGCAATGGGTGTTGTTGATGATGTTTCAAGCAATATGGCATTACCGTCTGCGGTCAAGATTGTGCAGACTTATGGCGTTGGAAATTAACATGTTGGGATGCCTTTGCCCTCCGCAGCCGGGCAACGCGTTTCGCTGAGCACTGATGCCCAGCATGCTCGAGAGAATCAGCTTTGCACATACACAAGCGACCTGGGAAGATCTGGGATGCGCGCATCATTGTGGGCGCGGTTGCGATGCCATAACATTCACGGGAAAAAAAAATTGCGATCAGGCAGGCGAGTCGAACCCTACCCGCACACCTGTATGATATAACCTCATGGAGTCATCGTGCGAGACATGTACTATGCTGCAACCCAGCGCAAATGGGATCGTACATGTCGTGCGTTTTGAACGACCCGTGCGTCATCACGGCCCCCAATCGTTTGCATTCTGAACACCGATAACACGGACTGCAAAACAGCTTTTGGCTTTTGATGCGACCAACATGAATTGCCAAAACCGGCCCACTGAGCACATGAAACAGAAACCTCTATGTGTCTTGGATTGCGTTTGCGGCATCCTTTTGGATCACACGACATCAATGTGGTCAGTCGCGGTGCCGCGCCTACATGAACCTACATACAGTAATGCAACAAGGGCTGAACTCTGTCTGTCTCGGGTGCGAAGCATTCAGCAGGAGAATGTAAGAGACATACATGTCGAACTCAAACGACAGGCAGTCTGTCCCTTGTCAAGGATGCGCAGGCAAACTCGCTGAGACGTCCCATATTGTCGTGACAAAAAACAATGGGCCTGTCGACGCAGCATCACGCATGACGGAGGCCAATTGGCTCTTGTAATGTCAACTGAATTTTGCCTGGCCATTTGTGACCAATTTTCTGCTTGCTTGCAGATTGGCAGTGCCAAATTTTCACAACAATATCGCATGAAGCATTGGTGACATCATTATATGGGAACCATCGTGAAATGCAAGTTGTTTTCCTCCAAAGTTTCAGATGGTCATTGGACACCCCTTGCTGGCGCGATGCATCGAACAATGCCTAGTTCAATCAAAACCTTTCCGCAAATCAACGCTTGCAATCCAGCGTTGGCCATCAAACTCGAAGAAGACTTGGTCGGGTCTCGCTCCGGCAAATGTGGGTTTATTCTTGACGGATGCGGCCAAAAGGAATTCTAACCGGCTCAGGTCCCGAAATTTGTTCAAAGTAATATCGACGTACCTCGTCTTGGCAAAGCTTTCTTTCACATCTTTTGCGACGACCAATCAAACCCTCGGCTGCTGCCATGGCTTCACGTCCTTAACTACGCACACAGCAAACCACGTCGCCACATCAACAACTTTCGTCACCCGTATATCTAATTGCAAAGGTCAAGCGCAGTTCCGGGGACCGCTGTTCGGCTGCGGCACGTTGCGGCGGGGCCAGCCTTTCCAGAGACGTGTGGCCAGCAACTCATGCAGCTCCGGCGGCTCCCCATCAGTGCTGCCTGCTCCTGCGAGCCTTAGCTGGTGTAGGCGCGTTGGGCCGCCACGGCCAGCAATGCTGGAGGAGCGAACACCGTCCGGCCGATGGCACGCAAGCGTTCGGAAGAACTTGCTGCTTCAGTGCCAAAGCGCCAGTCAACCTAAACACTGACGACCGCGCCACCAAAATTGCGAGGCACCAAGGGCAACGGCAATCGGAGCGGCACAGGAGTAGCACCCGGAAGTGCGCGGACGGGATGATGATAGCATCACGGAGGCGCGGCACGAAAGGCAAAAAGTTGGCCCATGCAAGAAGCTGGAAATCGTGAGTGTAACTCCCATCCGCTCACTAGCGTTCCCACCAAATAGAGCAGTGCTTGACAATGCCGTCCGTTCTTTCAGAACACGAACTGTACTCGTTTGCAACAGCAATTCGCACATCAGACCCCATGCCAAGCACAGATCACCATGAGCCTTCCAGAAATCATTTTCTGGAAGTAGCCTGCTGTTTTGTATCGTCGCCCCAGGTTGCCCTGGAACCTTCCGAGCAGTGCATGGAGGCTGCTTCGAATGACCATGATGCCACAACCACCGCAATGTGGGCCAAGTCCATCCATGCCTGCGGGAGCATCCCCATCCCGCCGCGGCTGGCCAAGTCCATCATCAGTTGTTACGGCTAGGAAGCGTGTGACGGTTCCGGTTGCTGGCCAAAGGCAACATGCACATCTGCAGTACCGAAATCCATCGCATGGCAAGGCTTGGACAACAGAACTTCGTCGTGCATCGTCTCACGTACCACACTTCCTGACATTGCTTGTTGGGCACGGATGTCGCGCTCGGATTCTGACCCTGCAGCAGCAGGTTACGGTGGGTGACATTAGCGGCGAAATACATCCGCCTCCTCTGCGCGCAGCCTCTTTTGCCTGCCATACTTGCGTTTTTCACTGCGCTGTGAAGTAGGCAGACATTTTGTTTCCCTACGGATAGGTAATAGTTTGCAGGTTCGTGTCAATTCAGCCGCCATTGCGGTCTCGTGTTCTCTAAATCATGTTTGAAGATTTCCCCAACAAAAAATCTGTCAGCTGCGACTGCAAAGCCGATTTCCTGCATAAACTCAACGTACTATCAGCGGCGATGCACGCAGTCGCAACGCTTTGATAATCTGCAACGTCTGCGACCAACTGTCACTGCCTCGACCCGTTCGTTTTTTGTGGCTTCAAGTCTTGTGCTGCTGCAAAACCTCCGCCTGAGCAGCACGAAGCACTCACACCTGAAAAGGGGAATCCCATCTGACTCGAAACCAAGGACCATACCATAAGGAGAATAACGTTTCAGTCTACATTGGAGACTGTACAAACCCTTCTTGCATCTTAAAATGCTACTGCTACTCACTTGAGTCTGCATGTAGGACCTACTCGATCCCTCAACGCGGAGTCAGAGAGCGTAAGCCACTTGAGGGTTTCCAACAATCTGGGGTCCCTGGTTGGAGGTCTCCATAGTAAGGAGTACAATATTTGGAGGTATTTAAGATGAACCCCTTTCGGTAGAAATGCTCACATCATACATGAAGATGGAGCAGAGGTATTGAAGCCCATCAGCTGTATCTTCCGGGTTCAAAGGTAGAAGATACACCTGTACAGAAAAAAGGCATCTCTTGCAAACTTGCTGTTTCTCAGTTCGAAGAAACAGATAGCCTAGCATGAATCAATACTGTTGATACACCATTTCGCAGAATCAAGTTACCCCTATGCACAGTCCCCAAAGTTGCAGTCCCCACTACGAACAGCGGCCCATAGTTTTGAGAAACATGTTGCAGCCTGAGACTTGGGGATCGTGCTCCGTAGGGAAGCGCCAGCACACCCGTCCCAACTGCACCAGACACCAGCAGCGCCAGGGAGGTCCCAGCAGCGCCCTCCGAATTGCATGGAAATGAGTGCATGGCCTTGATTTGGTATTGCCCTCTATCTTGAAAGCTTTTTGGTACTTGTGGAATACTTGAAAGCAGCTGTTGTGTGAGGCGGGCACCACCCAAGATAATCATCACCAAGCGGCTAGAATCTCAAAATAGCAGGGCTTATAATGAAGCGCGACGTTCTATGGCATGGCATCTATGGCTTCGGGGGCACGGTTTTTCAGATAACTGTGCCATCATAAGACGGAGTCCATGCTGCCTGCCTCTTCGAACGAGAGGAATCCTTTGTCTGCTCGCTGGCCTTTCTTTGCTCCCTGGCACGGTCTGAAATGTTGCATCATCAGCAATAAGTGTGTGTCAAAGCCAAAGCAATGCTGTGGAGGACTACCTGCCTTGGGCAGAAGAGATTGCTGTGCCCCTGCCGCACGTGGGACGTCCATTGCTGCAGAGCTTACGCTTCGTGATCCTGGGGCTCTCTAAATTGGAAAATGCCAAAGAATGTTCACTTCAATGAGGGTCTAAATTCTAACACTGGTATTTACTTGGACGTCACGAATGGTGAACCCTTTGCGACTTGCATCGCCGATTGCTTGTCAAGACTCATATGATGAGAAGGCACCTGCCTTAATGCAAGACATGATGCTGTCAACGCTGTGGTTGCGCCTCTAGCAATATACTTGCATTCGCAAATGGACCTAACTACAGTCGCAAATGACATGTCAGATGTGAATTGAGCATCAACGCCACCATGTCATACTCATGTACTCACGCGTGGCTCTGCAATCTCTGCAACCATGTTCATATTGCGTGCGATTTAAGGCGTCGGTGACGGATGGCCCTGGGGCTGCTTGCGGATCTTGCACTGGAACTTACAATCTCAAAGGAATAGCGACACTCAAGGAGTCCTCCTGCTGCAGCCCACAACTCTGGCTGGCAGCCAAACGTAATCGTAGAACGCAAGCTCTGTGTTCTCCGTGTCGCTGAGCATTTGTGGTCTTCACTTCAACAGGACCCCACAGGCGGCTATGTGGGTCACGTGGTTGCCTGCACAATTGGCATCTCTGCAGCTAGGCTCTCGGCAGCCCAAAAATGGAACATGCTCATGCCCGTGCGGCGGCAAAGCACCAAGTGCTTAGAGCAAGGAGATCGAAATAGCTGGGGAAGTTTTGCCCCAATCAGTCTACAAGTGTACAAGAATTAAACTACTAAACGTGCCCCAGTTCATTTTACCCCGTGCTTTTGTTGGGACTCCATGTGCCGGCATTGGGACGTATCGGCCTATCGGATTGTCCGAGACACGGAAACCATCGCCTCATGCTGACAGAGTAGAGCGATATCACCGACTCAACTTGACTCAACCGAGCTTCCCATTCACAAAACATGTGGGCATCCAGAGGTTTGAAAGAACGAGCTCACGAGACAGCGCATGCTCAACCAAACTACAAACAGCTAGCAAAATGTGGAATTTCCTGGTTGCGCTCTTTGATCCCGGCGTTCGGTCCACAATATGGCAACCGACAGTCGCACCAGTGTGGAAAGGCAGCTTTTTTTTGACCGCCGATGTCTGCTTATATGTTGCAACCGTAAAAGATGTCTGCTCATCTCTTCGCCCTGCTAGACACCTCCCCACAGTACCTAATACCCCTTCAGCACACCACACAAGCAAATAGGAAACAAGAGCGGAGTGGGAATGTTGTGAATCGTCTTACCCAGAGCTACCAGAACTGGCAGATGCAGCTTCCTATTCCTCAAGGGCATCTTGTTGTAACATCGTGTCCAACAATTACGCAGAGAAGCACTCATGATGTTATCAGAGCCGGGGGGCCAAGGCTGCATGATCATGATGAGGTGAGTCTACAGATGCTGTGCTTCAAAAAGCCTATAAAGATAGCTATTGTGGCAAGAAGGTCTTAGGGCTTAAGGCTTCGGGGCAGGCCTATACAATTAGACTAATGGAGCATCAAAGTCATCAAAACGGAAAAGAAGACTGGGTCTATCTAGGGGGTCTAATGGGACGGCCCTGGTAGGGGCCTACGCAGTATAGGTCTTGGGGTGCTTTATGCTATAGCCATGTAAGCTTGCATGGGAACAGCATTGGCAACTATTCAGGCTGCTACATATGGTGGGATACCGCGCCCACCATATAATAGTCATGCATAAGACTTGCTGAGGGTAACATAGCAACAACACTGGGGAGGTTTCTAGGTTGGAGGCAGTATTCAAATCGTAGGGTTTAGGCTACTCACCACTCAGAAGACTTATCAGCAATGGTAGGTGCGGCAACTTATAGCTACCCCGAAACCCTAAACCAGCTCGAGGTCAGAGCCAAAGAGAAGTGGCATTGCTCTTTAACTTGAAAAACTTAAGCCTCGACCCTACATCCTGAACTTCGCTTGGAGGGTTAGGGGGAGTTACGTTCATGATGAGGGTCACTAGGCTTACCACATGGCTTTTAGGGGGTTACAAACATACAATACAAGTTGCCACTATTTCACATCATCTCATCGCCAGTGGAAGATTCCCTCGACCCTTTTTCGCACTTCTGCCCTCCCTCACGGTCGTTGGGAAGTGAGACGCAGTCGCGGATTCGGAATCACTGAACTTGTAAAGTGATCCCTTCCATCATGCAACCGGGGGCGGTGAGGCTTCCTTTTGTGAAGCTCTTCCATCCCGTACCTGGTAGGATCCAAGTCTCATCCACGGGGTGCGTGAGCCTTTCAAGGTCAATAGGGCTCAGGGCTCACTGCGATTTAGTGGTTTAGAGTTTAGGAGTTTAGGGTTCATTACGGTTTAGGGGTTTAGGATCCAAGGTGTCGGGCAGGTTGCACAGGGCTCTTACAGAATCCACAGCTCCTGCGTGTTTGATTTGATGCCGCGATCGATCCTGCTACCATACGTGCGTAGACTGGCGTAGACAGGGTCGCTCAAGATGTGGAGGATTTCTCCAAACATGGTACCCTCAGGGATATTGGTGATTGTAAGGCAACTATGGGGGATCTCGCCTTCCAGGTTCCAAAGGAATCTATCCCCCCAACCCTAATCCATGTGAGGCTGTATGAGGTGGAGCCTATCACTTATGGAAATGTCTAAATAACAAAAATGGAAATCTCCAAGGGCAGAAAATAGAGTTCCAAAGCCCTTAACCTGCACGCTGCGCTCCGATCCCCAAACTCTTTACATCCCTGCATACCTCATAAGCCCCAACACATAAGTTCTCTTCATTTAGGGTTCCGGGTGGTGCGTGGATCCATTGCTGCTTTGGAGCACGAATGGCTCAGAATCTGACTATAGGGCCAAAAACTGGAGACCCAAATCGTCCACTGCGGCGAGGTAACGCAGAAAGCTATAGCATGGAAGCAAATTTCTCTGGGGCTTAGGGTCTACCGGTTAAGGGCTTAGGCTCCTTGATGATCGTTTGCAAACTTGCCCAATGACCTAGGTCAGCAAATTCTGGTTTCAGCCTTCTTGCCTACGAGTTGGGTTTGGGGTTTGGGGTTGAGGGTTTGGGCTTTGGGGATTGGAGTTTCAGGTTGTTCGGCAGGTTCTCAGGCTAAATGCACCAGTCATGACATGTGTCAAGACATCATCCATTGTCATTTTGACTTCGTCCGGAACAGAGACTCTCAAGAATGAAGGAGCAGGAACCTGACCCACCGCCCAACGTACGGGCGCAAATGATCCGGGGATGTTGCATGACAATGGTATTGGGAATCCAAGCCAGCAAGATCCGAGACTACTCAGGCTTTTACAGTACGGTACTGTCACACATGTCAAATAATCTAAACTCCGACAGTAGCATCCCCCTTAATAACCCCTATAAGAGTCCCCTAGATTTTCCCAAATAGAACTCCCTTTAAGGAGTTTAGACTTTAACTCACATGTCACTGTTATAAACTCAGGAACCTTTCACCAACAAAGAGCCGGAGGCTGGATGACGGTTCTAAGCTCCGCACCTCCTAGTTCAAAGTACATGGGTCTTTCCAACACTTAGGGCCCCATTTTGGGTAGCCCCCTAACGCCTAAATCCTGCACTCTAAACCCTGCACTCCATGATATGAGAAGTTAAGGAAACCCAAAAGGGGTATTTATCAAAATGACCCCTGTGCCATGCCCAATGTGAACCCGCACAACACTTTTATGAATCCTACATATCTTCGCGGCCCCTGGCTTACCTGATGCTCATCTCCATATGTCTTCCTGTAATAGACATTCACTGAACTGATTTCTAGCCTTCCAGCCTAAACCCTAAACCCACAACCCCCACCTTCCTAAAAAAAATTGGCTCTCCTCAACTCACGCCCCCTTTGGAGGCTGAGAGAAGCTTTACCGTCCCAAGCAAGATCTCCAGGGGTTCAGGGGTGGTTTTGAGGGATTGAATATTTTAACGAACATGTTCGGAGAATTCTGATGGCCTCAAGTTTGGAAGCCCAACCCTAAAATCCTGATCCCTAAGCTCAGAAGCCATGGAATGACATTCCGGCGTTCAGGACCGAATTTCTCCCTATGTTATCAGCTGTCCCGCGTGATATCCGGCAAACTCTTTACATAAGGGCCAGACTAAATCATTGTCAGCGCCATCATCGTCATCATCATCACTACCGTCATCATCACCATTATAATCGCGATCGTCATCATCATGTTGAATGGGCCGGGCAGGGTCCATCATTGTTTTAATAGCTGAGGTGCATGGCTACAAATACTTTAAGGAAACTCCTTGGGACGGTAAGGAGCAATGTCACCCGGTGAAACAATGGCCCCTGGGGCCAAAGGCAGGAGAAGCTCCGTCCCTGGCAATGGCGTCCCTGCCCAGTAGGCTCTGTCATATGACCAGGGGCCGAGGGATCTATTATTCGGCCTCGCAAATGCTTGCGAGTACAACCTTTAAGGGGTGCAAGCACATATTACATGGATTTGGGGCATCGAGGTGTCTTGATGCAAGTAGAATCCGCATGAGCACCAGAAGTCATCAATCCCAGCCTTGCGCCAAATCTTTAAGCAGTGCAACTCAGAAGCCATGTGAGCTATAGTCTAAACTTCGAGTACTCTCACTCATAACTCCCATAGTAGTCCCCTACATCTTTCCCTACAAATCCCCCCTTTAAGGAATTAAGACTACAGCTCATATACTCACAGCAACAACTTGGCTGTGCTCCCCAAGTTCAATCCGCTTGGGCGTTGGCTCAACTTTGCTGTATCTTCCCTTAGAGTTTAGGGTTTGGGGTTTAGAGTTTAGGGTTTAGGGTTTCCTTCGGCCATGAGAATAATTACCAACCCCCCTTAAGGAACCCTTCAAATCTACTGGTACTTCGTATGGGATAAATGAATTTAATCCCCAGATACTATCTTCCCTCATTCCCTACCGAGAATTAGTAAGAAAAGAGGGTCGACCTAAAGTGGAGATGACAATTATTCCCTTGATTTAGCCTAAATTGACGCTTCC